GAAAGTTGAACATGTATACTTGACATTTTTCAAACCCATTATTCAATTTGATCTTGCCTTTTGCGTTTTTTCTGAGAGTTGTCGTTCATATGGGGGCGACAGCTGATTAACGGAAAAACAGAATACAGATTTTTAAACAGAATACATTCAATTTCTGTCCACTGCCTACCTTATAATATTCAATCGATAAAGTCACACTCGATATACCTATTATATGTCCAACCCAATTCATTCAGATTTAGGTCAAGATAGGTATCGTCTGCGTAAACTATTTTACATGAAAAGTAGCCATCGACTAAGTTGACAAATGTCATTGGTACTGATGACGAATCTGAGCGATAACCAATCATAGATATGACATAACTTAGTTTCGATAATCCGTTATTGATTCCCAATCCATCAAACAACTAACAATAATTGATATGCATAATACGAAATTTCATTAGACAATTTCTTAACGCCAACTTTCTCAAAAGTTCTTGAAAGAGCTATTGAAGTTCAGGTGAAAGAACACATTGACAATTTCTCTATACTTCCAGTAACTCAACTTGGATTTCGTAAATGACATAGTTGTGCAACTGCTTTATTGCATATAGTGGAAAATATTATTAGAGCACGTGACACAAACAATAAAACAGTACTGGCTCATCTTGATTTAAGTAGAGCATTCGATACTGGTAACTTCAATTTAATGTTATTAATTCTTGGCTATATAGGACTCTCTAAAAATCACTAATCAGATCGTATCGTATCAGTGGCTGGCTGGTTAAATATGGACGATAAGAGTGTAACATGCTGCAACTTTGTTTCGCAAGACAATCAATAGTAAAGTACCGTCTTCCTTACACCAGAACTTACTTTCAGAACTGATGTGAGGTATAGAGGCTGACTAACTCCGCCACCCTTTCGTACAGAGTTCTTCAGAAAAAGTTTCAGAAAGTAGATTTGTGCAATTTATGACATTCTCAAACTCATGAAACGAAATGACTTCAACCGTTTTTATACCAATTTCAAACGATCCTTACCATCTTAAAACTATTAACGACCCAATAGCTACCTATGTATTACAAATTTACAAACAGTCATTGCATTTTAGGATAAAATTTCCTTTTATGTTTATTTCTTTGCGTACTACGCGACATTTTTCAGTTCAAGTGGAAGAGCAATTGAATGATTACTTGTTATCATGCAGATTGAACTTCGCCTTTTATCTTCATATAACAATTGTGGGGAATCTGATTAATTTGCTTGTAATAAAGACGATATTATTATTATTTTCTAATATCCATTTTGACGCTAATTGATTATTCAACCCTCTTGGTTGAATACATTCATATAACTAACATGATTGAAAATATGCTTGCTGTTCACATTTGATAGAGTGTTATTGAACCTGATAATTTAAGTTGATCGCACAACCATACCTATATAGTGTGACACTTGAGATGAAAACACCCCTGTATTTTAGTAATTTTTGAAAGCTTATATGTGATTTTTGGTACAGACATAGAACTTCACGAGCCACACTATTCGCAATACTTGACCCGAGTGATAGTCTTAAACTCAAATCATCTAAAAGAACAATTCGTTCAGGCCAGCCTCAACACCCTACACAGTAGGTTAATGGACTGACACCTATCAGAAAACAACTACTCCCCTGGCTAATACCACGAAGGGCGTTGGATTATATCCGACAGGTGTCAGTGCAGGATTCTTCACTGAAGTTATTCAGTTTTCTGATAGGTGTCAGTCCATTAACCTACTGTGTAGGGTGTTGAGGCTGGCCTGAACGAATTGTTCTTTTAGATGATTTGATTTATAGCCAGTCTTCAAGTATGCCCACTGACTATACGTGAAAGTCTTAAACTCAGTTACTGTGTTCTGTGTTCCTGCGAAAAGAACAAATTCTCGATATTTTGCTTCGCATTAATGATACCGAAATAAGTTATTTGAAAGAGTTGCTCACAAATCGATTTTGACCCTCATATCGAATTTCAACGCAAAATTCGAATTTCACTTTCAAGTCCGATTTTCAACTAATGGACCTAAATAAGAATCTACGAAAATAATAAATCCGTTATAATCCGTGATAAGATTGAAAAACCTAATATTTATTATGAATACATTCATTTAATCGATTTTGACTATTTTATTATTTCTATAGCTTTCATTCTGTCTGTCTGTCTGTTTAAAATCTGTTTTTCCGTTAATCAGCTGTCGCTCCCATACGAACGACAACTCTCAGAAGCTGAGAAACTTGTGCGAGCTAAGGACTAACGAGGTCTTACCTTTTAACGTGTGATTCCTAACACGGTAACCGGAACCATTAATTGAAAATCGGACTTGAATATGAAAATTACAGAAACATTTAAATTTCGAATTATGGATTTTAGGGTCAAAATCGATTTCTAAGCAACTTATTTCGGTATCTCCGACGCAGAGCAAAATATCGAGAATTTGCTTTTTTCGCGGGATCGCAGTAGGCTGGATTTTAGGCTGTCACTCGGGTTGAGTATTGCGAAATGTGCGGCCCATGATGGACTGACTACGCCTATACCAGAAGTCATATCTCTGCTTTCAAAAACGACTCAAAGTGTGTCACACTGTATAAAGTGATTGCTGATTACGCACTCTGAACACTAATTAAGATGAACTACGCCAGAATCAATCAATATAATACTCAAATGGCTCACTGAAACTCCATACCTCGATACAGATGAGCAATCACAGTTCCTTGAAACCGGAGACCACTTTCTGTGGTAGAATATTTTTCTTCAAATAAAGTGTGTAGCTCGAGATAAATGCAGCAAGTAATTGGCAGTGACCACAACGTATAGTGTCGTGAACAACTTTAATCCAAGTTGCAATCTCCGAATTAAATATTCATGAATGGGCTTACACATGGGATCCAGTTGTTGGTGATCTCATTTTCGTTTTATATTACTGAAATAAACATCGAACACGAATACCACTTTTCTTTGTTACAAGCTTTCATTATACTCATAAGAATATCACAATTCTAGAGGGATGTTGTTTGAGCGCATTGAATTTTTGTGGTACGATTTTGTAAATTGTTTCAGTATTTTCAACACCGATCCACTGTTGGTTACATTTATGGTCTGTGCAATCAAATCAGTATGAAAAATTACGTGACATATAAAAATGTAAATAGTTTAATTGATACACAAAACAATTAATTTATTATGACATGTCACATGGATCACAATTACTTACGTACACTTATTTTGCATATCAATATAAAAAAATACTATCTGATAAACCTGTATCGTGATAGTAGAGGAAAATCTCCTTCTGATGAGTTTTATGAGAAAGGATTGATTCAACCTGAGTTCTACAGAATTCCTAACTGTTTGTATATTAACTCATCCACTGACACAAATCAATGTTAATAAAAGCAGAACACCGGTAAAATCGTAACATTGACATAACTTTCATTTTACCATATTCATGTCATCCACTACATCGTAAACATGCATATAAACTACTTGAGATTACAGAATTGGTAGCAACGTCAGCAAGCTTTTCTCTCTATATACCTATACTAACCATTGACGTCTATCAGAGGGATATCACTGAGAATACATTCAAAAATAATATGTAAACACGATATAACAGTTGAAGGCTGGACCCACCGTTCACATATTTTAACTGCGATTAAATGCACTATACCCGTTAAGTCAAGTTTAGTTCAGATAATAAATTGTTTTATTCTCACATCGAAACTCTTTCATCTGCCTCAGTCAATGTCTCCTCCAGTTTGGAGTTTTTATCAACAGTAACAGTTCTTCTTTCTAAATATGGTTTTGGTGATATCACAGCATCATTTTTCTCTCATTATTGAATTAATATTAGGATGATTTTGAAACTTCCGTCGTTGGCTAACACATTTTCATATCAATGGAATACAAAGGATTTTGGTGATATGAGAACGTCGTACACATGAAAAAAAAATCTTTGCGTTAACAGAAAAGGCACATCCAAAAGTAGTAGTTTTAATTCACACACCCAGTATAATTTACAGTATAATTTACTAATAACAGTGATTAAGACATAAGAACATCATTATCATTTCCGACAATTTATTTTCTACAGGTAATAAAGTACCTAGTTAAAGTACTATTTATAGGTATTAGATGGGATGGAATCATGAAGTAATACTCTAGCAAGAAGGTATTTAGGTATAGGTAAGTGTTTTTCATAGGAAGTATTGAAAATTTCAATTGAAATTCAAAAGTAAAAACAGTTTAATCAAAAAAGATTCATTAATTAATAATGTGAGTGTTCCATATTTTTGTTACTCACAGTATACATACAGCTTCAAAAAGGCGCTTGAGATTTTTTATATCAAATCAAACAACAGCAGAATATTTGAACTAAATACTACATTTTTCACGTTTCAACCGACTCAATTATGTAGGCCAACTAATCACCCATTCAAAAATGATTCATTGCTTTACTGCTTGAGGAAACTTGTTTAACATCAAAATGAACATGAATTGGGGGATCATATTTTACATAAATCTTAAAATTTGAATTTCGAACCTGGATTTTTTGAGTCTATATATACAACAAGCTCAATCGATCAAAATGCATGCAATGCATCTCATGATTTTGAAAATTTGCTTTCAAGCAAATGCTACCGTGTATAATAATTTCAACAATAATGTACACTCAAGTTATATGCTTAGCATAATTTCGAAAAGTATGCATTTGCACTCATTATAACCAATTGAACTTGATTCACTCTGGATATAACCCTTGAAAATTTCAAATGCATTTTTCCATTCAAAATAAATGTGCATATTTTTTCATTTCTTTCAGTGTTGGTGGTACTCCCGGAAGCGGTTTACTTCTCGGCAGAGAGCTGCATCCAGCATACCGATTGCCTCCACACATGGAGTACCTCTATTCCCTCCAACATTCCACGAGTAACTCTATTCACGGTAAGTAATGAATCTGGACATATACATATGTCCTGAATTCCTAACACTTCATCATACTCCAATATCCAATAAACTGACTACCTTGTGTCAGCTTAAACGTAGTACCTATCCCTTCTCACGAATATCTCACTATCCGAAACCTTATCCGTCCTCAAAACAAAACACCAAATTCTTCAAAACACCAAATTCTTCAAAACACCAAATTCTTCAAAACACTCATCTTTATCAGCCACTGCATGTCAAACACCTATTTCCTTTAAAAGGGTAAAATTTTACAAAAAAATAATAAGCGCTCCCATGGGTTTCCCACTCTCTCCAGTCCTGGCAAACCTTTATACTTCGAAACGAGAGTCATTGACATGTCTAACCTCAGACCTACGTGTTGGCTTCGATACTTAGATGACGTCTTTGTTATGTGGCATGATGGATTTGAAAGTCTCCATACCACATCAACTCCTTACATTCCGATCTAAAATTCACTTCACGATGGAAGTCGAAAAACAACTCACTTCCATTTCTGGACGTTCTCATCACAAAAACTAATCCGTCCAAAAAATTACCTTCTCAATAAATCATATTATTCAAATACAAATTCAATTTTAAGTATGGTGAGGGACATCTGCTATTCAAATTATTATTGACTAAAAGGCAATATTGTTTATTGTAAAGTAGCTTCAATGTCCGTCATTGACAGACTTCAATTAACATAAAACACTAAGACGGTAGAGAAATAAATACTGCCTGCTTATAAATAAACCAAGCGTTTCGATATATAGCAGAGTAAATAAACACATCTTCTGCAAAAATAAATCATTAAAACCGCTAGACTCTAAATTTATAAATAAACTGCAGTCTGGTGATACAATAACCGTAAAGTTTTCTCCGAAGTGAATGTTCAAATGAGTAAAGTTCTTTTTTCGTCGTGACTTGTTCTCATAATTTTTTTAAATCAATGATTTCCATGAATATTTCTATCATCGTAAACAACCCCTAAAACGAACAGCAAAAACATATGTGTCTATTCAGACATTTCTCCTATAAATAAATAATAGTAGATTTTGTATAAGACGAGTTAAGAGAATGAAAATTAGAATTGGAAACTCTGGGATGAAATGAATCTAATGAGAACACTCTTTTCTTAAACTAAAGTCTATCCAAATCCAAGATAGAGTAAAACAAAACCGAAGCGTGAGGTTCACGTGATCGCCCAGTGTCAGATGGAAAGGGCAGCGTTCATTGATGAATTCGCCTTCATGGTACGAGTTCGGTACCAGCACAGGGTTGTAATCAGTCGTTTGCGTGTTTGTGTGGCGTGCGTTATAGTATATTGTTTACAATTGTTTTCCAAGATGTCCAGTACAGAGACTGCTTATGACATTGTGAGCTATCATCTGAGTCCAGCCAGGAAACGATCCAAAAAAAGACATTTGAGTGTTGAGATGAAAGAAGTGATTTTAAATGTGTTCAAGAAAGAGATGGAAGAAATTGAGACATCGACTGTCGACGAAGTCGTATCGAAAGTTTCCGATAAAATTGGAGTGTGTTGCGCTTCGATTTACAATGTTTTACGGGAATATAAACAAAATCATACATTTTCCGAACCGAATACAAATCAGAATCGTCAAACCATTATAAAATCAATAGATGATGCTGATAAACATGCAATCAGGAGGAAAGTGCATGAGTACTTTTTCAGAAATGAAATACCCACGATAGACAAAGTACTCACAGAAATAAATGAAGATGTTTTATTGCCAAGTTTTAAGCGGTCAACATTCCATAAAGTATTGAAACATTTGAATTTTGTGTGGAAAAAACGAGGGCGCAATAGTTTATTATTTAGAGAGGAAATTGTGTTATGAAGGAGAGAGTATTTGACCAAAATTAAATATTATAGGGAACAACAGAGAACAATTTATTATATGGATGAAACCTGGGTTAATGCTGGTCATACTACTCCTAAAGTATGGGTCGATGAAACGTTGACCTCATCTAGGAGGGCCTTTCTAGATGGACTATCCACCGGATTAACAAATCCAGCAGGTAAACTTATATTTATATTAAGACCTGCCTCAATCTCAATATATAAAAAGTAACCCTCGTATTTGTTTTATTTACTTACATACCTCTTCATAATTTCAGGTAAAGGAAAACGGCTTATTATTTGTCACATCGGCAATGAGAATGGGTTTGTTGCTGAAGGGCTGTGGTGTTTCGAGTCGAAGAAAACTGGAGATTATCACGAAGAAATGAACGGTAAATCTTTCGAACAGTGGTTTTCCAAAGTTCTACCCCATCTGGAGGATAATGCTGTGATTGTAATGGACAATGCACCTTATCATTCGCGACGGTTAGAGAAGATTCCGACAACGTCTTCAAAGAAGGTTGAAATCCAAAATTGCTTGCGATCAAAGAATATTAGCTTTGAAGACTCAATGCTAAGAGTACAGCTACTAAAAATTGTCAAGGAGCGCAAGCTTGAATACCAAAAATATATAGTCGATGAGATGGCAGCAGGCCAAAACAAAATTGTCCTTCGCCTGCCTCCATACCACTGCGAGCTCAATCCCATCGAGTTAGTATGGGCGGATGTGAATAATTTTGTAGCTCAGCATAACACCACGTTCAAATTTGCAGATCTCAAAGTACTTTTTGATGAGGCTTTGAAAAGAGTCACAGCGGAGAAATGGGAGAAGTGTGTTCGGTATGTGATATCGAAAGTCGAGACAAAGATGTGGAAGCTTGATAACATAATAGAGACACAAATCGAGCCACTGATAATTCAGATTGGTGAGGATGACACTACTGTTGAAGAGACAAATTCATCCAGTTGAATAATTTTGATTAATATTCCTTTTGATTTTACATTAAATAAAGAAATAATTACGTCTCTTTTCATATAATGCTTGAGTGCGCTGTGAAAAATCCAATGAAAATCTTTTTATATTACACATATTATCTGCATTTTTTCCGTTAAACTGTAAAACTTGTGCATTTCACTCGTTATTATAAAATTTTTTTCCTAAGTATGATATAGCATTTGCGATCAACAAGATGTTGGTTCTGAATCCACTCTATTTTGGATTTGAATTTGCTTTAGAACTGTGACAATTGTCTCGAGACGAATTTCACCCGTCGTTGAGATACGATCATCTCCTGACAACGCCAATTGTGGTTTTACCTTCTAGGATTGATGATATTGGTGTCATAGTTCTCTTCTATTCAAGTACATAACTTATACTAAATTATCTTTACTTGTTCAGTATTTTTTATGAATCAACACAAGATAACAATTTGAAGACCATGATAACGAAACGACTAGAACACAAATAACTTATTATATAATTTTTCATTTGCCAACAGAAAAAACAGCGTAGGCGCCATGAGAGTAACAGCTCCCCCAATGAAAATAGAACAAAATCCTAATTGCACTTCGGGATACGCAAGACGCGTCATTTATTTCAAGAGATATGTTTCCTTCGCGACATATGATTTAATTAGGCAAAAACGCCCCGATTTCGAGTCGTATGGAAGTGAGAAGAAACAAAAAAATGTCGCGAACAACTGATGACAAGAAAAAACGTACTTGAGGTTGACAGATTAGCTCGAGAAACAAAATAATTTGAGAGCCCGGAACATTATTAATTGACTGTAGTTGTGGATTTATAGATGGTTCATAAATAATATGTCAAGTCAAGTTTATGGAGCATGTTGGGTATTACAACCGACCAAACGAAATTTGTTTACATATCATTAAAACGGCATTGGTGAAACAAATTATTATGCAATTACAAATATTGAAATATTGTAATGTCATAGATTGTAACAAAAATTTGGTGAATTTCAACTTGTGATCATGGCGAAGTTTACTAGTTAATTTTTTTGTATTGTGAAAATCTCATGAATGTCTTATTATTTCATTTGTATAAAGCAAATTGCGGTTATATTCAAAGTATATTCACTTCAAAACCAAAATTTTCAACAATATTTCTAGTTCCGGGCACTCATTTACAAAATTGTCTAGAAAGAGGTTATATGATAAATGATTACTGAAAAAATATCTGGCTCTTCAAAAGTATTCGTTTATTTACATTCAACTCATACGTTATAATCAGATTTATTAATTTTTATTGCAAAACTTCTTAGTGATAATCAAACGAGAACTTATTAATATATTAAATACCACTTTGCCAACTTGATAATCTAATTTATTGAAACTATTCATAGTGTATGATCATTGAATAAGTTGAATAATAATAATAAAGCCTTTATTTTATGATATTACCAGCCATGTTGGGAGCCAAGCTGAGCAAATGTTCACTCTGTCATTTTATTAGATATTAAAATATCGAACTGAAAGGCTGTTAAAAATGACATGTAGACATTTATAGCGTACCCGTTTTACCGATCAACGTATAAATATAAGAAGTTTTTATCTTTATAACAGTGTGGCATTTTATTTTCATTCGTTAATCCGTTCTCTTTTATGGCTTTAGTAATATGAGCGTTTTCCACCCGTTTCACGCATTATTTTTATCAATTGATCTTTGAATTGGCAAATAAAACTTTGAATTTTCTAAATTCCTGTCTGATTGAGCTCTTACTTAATGAATTTATTTTAATCATAAAATTACCATGTAAGTGCTAACAAACCGTTTGTACCATGCAGACCAATTCGAATAAAAATTGTAGAAAATTTAATTTTTCATCACCAATGAACTGTGAAAAAAATATGAATGTTCACTTCCTCCCACAAAAGTCACATTAATATCTGTTCTATAATAAATCGCTATTAAAGCAAAACGTACAGAACATGGAAGTGTCTATATTACCTAATAAATAATTATAGATTAATTTCGGGACTTTTGATATTTTTGTTATCAAAAAAACTTTTTTACCTGTGTGAACATTGTGATTTGCTTTCACCAAAGATAATTAAATATGTTATACCTTCAAGTAACGAAATGAAATTTCGTATTGCAACGTCGTATTTTGCAACA